AGGTAAACAGGAGGGTGTAGTCTCTATTTGGCAAGTGACAATCTTAATTTTATGTGCTGACGTGCTTTTATCTCGTTACTTTTAAATAGAGCAAAGTAATGAACAGATAGTAACTTAAACAGTGTCATTAAAGCCAAAGCTTGGTCAGTTTAAATGCTATTGTTCAAGTAAAAATGTGCCCCAACCGTGGCTCCATGTCAAGTGGACTAAAGAAAGGAAGGGGAAAAAATCAAATTGCTGGAGAATTGTTTATTTCCATTTAAACAACGTTTACATTCAATACAGGTCGCCATTTTACACAGTTTATTTATTTTTTAGTATCAAGGCTGTAACATAAAGAAAGCCAGTTCTTACCACAAACCATCTTTCAATCGCAAATATTGCAAAAAGGATTAATATATCCTCATTGTGAACGTTTAAGACAAATAGCAACACTTAAAACAACTTCCGAACTGGAAAAAACTAATATCCGCGATAAACATCTGTTTAAGTAATGGAAGAGGTTATCTCTGCTTTCTGAATGTCCATATTGCTAGATATGCTGAGTTTTAGGGCGAAATCCTGGGGAATGTCGTCTAGAAATGCAATTACCCTAACCGTGCGCGATCCCGCAGTGGCTAATCATTTTTTGGCAGCGAGTCGATTTATGGCACAACACCTGTTAACGCCTGGCTCTCACTTGATCTAAGATCTGATTGGTTCCCATTCTGATCCAAACATCCTGTGGTAAAACATGAAATGTTAGTTGGTCACATGAATTCTATAAATCATGTTACGTTGATGATAACGCTATAGGCCATAAAGAGAAATGTGCTTTATGTTATTTGTCACGTTTCCTATAAGCACACTAAAACTACAGCTGATAACCTTTACTTATTATTACATATGCATTATATGATATCCACAAGCATGTGAGGGAGTGTTTCGGTTGCTAACAGTCACCAGAATTAAAATAAATAAATAAACAAGTATGAACTCTAACGCGATATCTTCATCCGTCGTCACCCGCGAGCTACACATGTTGGGAAATGTGTTCGGCTTAAACGCCGGCTTTCAGCCACTCCCCTGCTGCGTCCGTCTGCTCTCGTCTATTTTCCAGGCGAGGAGCTGCTCAAGATCTTGCGATTTTGAGTTGGAACGTGCATTAGCTACAACAGGTATGACTAGTCCAGGAAAAGATCAAATATGCCAAATAATGTTAAAACAATTAGGGAAACAAATGAAATTAAAATTATTGGAGATTTATAATATGATATGGGAAACAGGAAAATTACCAAAAAATTGGAAAGAAGCAGTTATTGTACCAATAATTAGAGTAGGAAAGGAATCAAGTAGTCCAGATAGTTATAGACCCAATGCATTAACATCTCATATAGGAAAAATAATGGAAAGGATGGTAGTGGATAGATTAACAAATTATTTAGAAAGAAATAGAAAGATATCACAGTATCAAAGTGGGTTTAGGAAAGGGAGAGGCACTATGGATGCAATTGTTTATTTAGAAACAGAAATTAGAAAAGCATTAATTAATAAAGAGAGTGTAGTCTTTTTTGATGTAGAAAAAGCCTATGACATGGTGTGGAAAGAGGGATTGTTAATAAAACTTAAAAAATTGGGAGTAGGAGGAAGAATGTATAACTGGATTAAAGATTTTTTGAGTGAGAGAAATATTCAAGTAAAAATTGGAAGTACATTTTCTAAGGGGTGTAAAGTAGAAAATGGCACTGCTCAAGGAAGTGTCATTAGTCCAATATTATTCTCTATTATGACAGATTATGTGTTTCTGTCATGTTGTGTGGTAGATACCTAACCCACGACATACAGAATCAGTCCACAGAGTCAGAGAAGATTGCAAACAATAATTTATTAGTAAAAGGAGAATTGAAGGAGCTGCTAGGAAGTCTAGCAGTATTCGGCAGAGAAGCAATAGTTTCAGGATGTGGGGAATGAGTTTGGTAAGGCATTATTTGCAGATGATGGAGCAATATGGAAGAAAGGGAAAAATATCCTATATGTGCAAAAGAAAGTCCAGGAAGCAATTAAGATGGAGGAAAACTGGTGATATGAATGGGGTTTCAAATTTTCAGTGTAAAAAACTAAAAGTATGGTGTTTACAAAAGGCAAGAAAGTAATGGAGAATTTAACATTGTATGGAAAAGAGTTGGAGCAAGTAGATAAGTTTAAATATTTAGGTGTAATATTTGATAAAAAGTTAATATGGAATAATATAAATAAAATAGAGGAAAGATGCAAAAAAAGTAATAAATATGAGATGTGTGAGAGGATGTGACTGGGGGGCTAGTGCTCAGGCATTAAAATACATGTACAGTGCAATGATACGATCAGTGATAGATTATGGGAGTTTAGTTTATAGTTCAGCATCTAAAACATTAATGAAACAGATTGAAATCATACAAAGTCAAGCATTAAGAGTGTGCTGTGGAGCAATAAAAACTATGTCTATTGTGGCACTACAGGTAGAAATGGGAATGATACCAATACAGCTTAGGATAAAACAGATAGCTTTGAATCACTGGGCAATTATACAAAGGTGTGAGGACAACGAACACATGGCAAAAAGGGCACTGAGTCCGTGTTGGGAAACGGAGAAAATGAAGGATTATGGTAGCTGTAATGTGCAAGATTGGGCAAAAGAGAGTAAGATCCAAGATAAAGTACAAATTAAAAAGTTTATATACGGTTAATCCAAAATGGATATTTCCGGAAGTGTGTGTTGATTATAGTATTTATGATCAAATGAGGAGCCGTGGGGGAAAAGGAAATTGGGATAAAATTACAGAAGATAGGTTAAACAGCTATGAGTCTTTTCAGCAAATCTTTACAGATGGATCAAAGGAACTGGTAGGGGGAAAACCCAGTTTTGCATTTGTAATTGTCATGTTCCTGGGAATGTGTTTAACCCACGACATGAAGAATCATCACAAGATGGGGGGGGAAAGTTCAACACAATGATTTATTTTAGGAATCTAACAAAAGGTGTCCCTGGAATAAACCCAGAGTAGTTGGAGCCAGAGAGAGTCCAAGTTCTGCAGGTGGAGGAGGTCGAGGAGGGCAGAGTGACGGGGTCAGTCCAGGAGAGGGAGCCAGGCAGGGTGGCAGAGGAATATGGGCTCGACACACGGGAGGCGACAAACGACCGCGATCAGCGAAATTTGTCGCCGTCTCTTTTATTACCTGTCACACGGGAGGCAATCCGCGGCAGCGGCCAGCGGCAAAGCCGTCTACGCGTTCTGTTCCATTGCGAAATCGAATCTTCCGTTTTGTTTGACTGGGTTGGAAGGAATTAAGGTTATTTAAGCGGTTCAGAGTTAATAAAGCGGTAGATATGATGTTTCACAAGGTGCTGCTAGAGTTATGTGAAGACTTACTTCCGATTTTACTATATAAAAAATAATAATAATCAACTTCTCCTCCATGTTTGCTCGGAGATGTACGGAGCATCCTGTCCGCTCATTGGTCAGTGAATGAAACCTCCGTTGATTGGTCCTCGCCCGAGCGACAGCGATGAAAAGTTGAAAATGTTTCAACTTTCTTGGATCGCATCGCTGGGTCGTCTGTGCACGACACGTGCACGAGTGCAAATTTTCACACGCATGTTTTTCGCGTTTCGCTTGGTAGGAGAGAGACTCGCGATTATCGCTTTGTCGCGTATGTCTCATTGAAAATGAATGGAGGAGAGGCGATGTCGCCTCCCGTGTGTCGAGCCCATAAGAGGAGAGGCGAACCGTGAAGTCCAGGAAGGTATGGTTCTTTCCAGGTGAGTAATCCAGTAAGGTTCTGCTTCTTGGATAGAGGATAATATCCAACAAACCCAGAGCGTCAGGGAAGATTGTCCAGTAATCCTGGAGAGAGGATACAAAACTTGAGTCCAAAAATCCAACACAAGAGTCCAAGAATAATCCAAGAAATTCTCCAAGCCAATTATCTACTTAAAAACCAAGCAACCTAGAACGAGTGGCCAAAATACTACCATGAGTAGTTAATCATCCAGCACTGTGTAGTGGTTCCCTCTCCTCTTAAATAGAGCTCTGCTGCGGATGACCTGAGAAGCTGCAGCTGCCACTGATTGCTAATACCCTGCAGCTGGTGAGCTCCCTCTCCTGAAATGAAGAGCTCAAAGATGTTATAGAGATGAGGAGTACTCACCCCACCACACAACAGTAATACCACATATAGGAGTAGTAGTTAGGGAAAGAACTCCAGATCATTTATCTGTGTACACAGTGGAGATGATAGCTATCTTATTTAGTCTTCAATGGATGGAACAAAATAGAATTAAAAAAGGAATTATATGTACTGATTTGTTATCTGTATTAGTGTCAGTTAAATGTATGTCTACCAAGAGTCGAATAGCTTTATTATATGAGATTATGAGACCATATTTAGATTAAGGAAATTGGGTGCGGAAGTTAAATTTTTATGGGTACCAGCACAAAGAGGAGTAGAAGGAAATGCATATAGTGCCGCTGAAATTAAATCTATCATTAAAGCACATATAATGGACGAGTGGCAAAGAATGTGGGAAAGGCGACAGAAAGGAAGACATTTGTTTCAGATACAAGGGAAAGTAGGAAAATGGAAAAATATAAGAATGAATAGTAGAGATGAAAGAATAATATCAAGATTAAGAATGGGACATACTGGGCTTAATAATACGATGCATCTGATAAGGGAAACATCCCACAGGTTTGTGTGGATGTGGGGTGGGGGGAGAAACAGTGGAACATGTTTTAAGTGACTGCATAAAATATGAGGAAAGTAGAGGACAACTCAGGGAGAAACTAAAAAACATAGGAGGTGGAGTGATAAATGTAAAAAATTTGTTAAATGGTGAAGGAAGGAAATATAAGTTGGTTATTGAGTTTCTAAAACACAGTGGTCTGTTGAATAGAATTATTTTTTTTATTTTTATTTTTACGTTCTTACTCCGACTCACACTCCAGCACAGTAGGTGGCGGAAATGCACCTAGCAGTCAGATGCCACCCGCCAGAAAACACGAAGAAGAAGAAGATCTCGCGATAAGTGTGCAGAAGCGGCTGTGACAGAGGAAGCTTCCAGAAGTCCGTAGCTTCCTAAGTTTTGGTCCGCTCGTCGTGCTGGGCTCAGCGATGGACGGTGTGCGTGACTCATCTGGTCAAAACCGTCCCCCGGAGAACCAGGACCTGCCTTTTCTGAGCATCTTAGGTAGGTGACGTGTCGGAACCAGTCTGTCGCGAGAACGGGCGTCGCAGAAAATGGCTAGAAGCTACTTTAAGTCATACTCGCACTATTAACTCGGGTTTCTTCCGCGTGATTCATGAAAACGAGTTGTTGTTGGAGATGAATTAAAGAATTTAGGTTTGTCACTTTATGTTCGGATGTGTTTGTTACGAATGAAGAAGGCGTGTCTTGATTTTTTCTTCCTCCTAGTTTCTAAGCACGGCTCACATTCCTGCTTCAACCAACATCCCAACAGTTTTTTTTATTATGAAATTATGACAATACAGCGTAAACAAACCTTTAGTAATAAAATTTATGTATAAAGGATAAGAACTTATCAGTCATCAAATAGAGAAAAAGTACAAAGTGTATCAGACCATGTCAATGAACAGAAGGAAAAGGGAAGGAGAAATTGATAACAAGAACACATTTAAGTATTGTTACGTATTTGTAAACTTTAACATTATTCATAAAGCAGTTTCAAAAAGTCAAATAGGATATGTGTTTTGTCTAATTTGCAATGTTTTAATGATTCTTTCAAAAGAAGTACTTCGTTTTTAAAAGCAGCGAAAGTTGGAGAGGTTTTCAAGTAATGGCACTTATGGATAAACTATTTAGCCAATATAATCAAATTGTTAATCCCAAATTGTAAAGTTTTATTAACTGTTTGTAAACCAAATCAAATAGTTTAAAATGTTAACAGGGGGAAGTGTATATATATATATATATATATATATATTTGCATTATCCAGTGCTGAAAAGCTAACAAAAACATTAGTATTATCCATCACACCAATGGAAAAGGTGCTCTGCTGTTTCAACATCATTAGTGCAGAAAGACGCATGCATTTATGTCGATGTTGAACTTCTTGTGTAAACAATCATTTGATGGATAAATGGCATGCAAAATTTAGGAGTGGTTTTCTTTTGCTTTAGGTGGAATTGGGAAGGAAAAGTATTGAATCAAAAAGCTGGAATTAGAGCCTCTAAGTAGGCGTTTTCGTTTGAGTTGTGATGGAAAATATTGTTTGGTGAGAGTCGTTCTTAAAAATATGTTGTTACATGCCTTTCCCTTAAAAGGACATCCTTCAGTTATTAAAGATGGCTCTCTAAGGATACAGTTGGAATAAGCTAGGCTGGCTTTAGCCATCTGAATCACTGGTGGGGGAATGGCTTTCATAAGCTTGGCGAGTTTTTGTCTAGAACAAATAATGTCATATCTTTCAGTGAAATCATTGTATGATGAAGGATTCCCATCACCATCTAATAGATAGTAAACTGTCCAAACTCCACGATCCATCCAATCCTGATAGAAAACAGATTTTCTATGAATTAAGATGCTCCTATTATTCCAGATTGATGTTGTATGAGGGGAACAATTGTGCTGATATATCAGCTTCCAGTACTGAAGGGCCTGTTCATGAAAATTTGATAGATTGACTGGTAATTTTGATATTTCAAAGTCACACTTAAGGAGAAATTCAACACCTCCAATGTTTGCAAATATCACTTTGGGGAGAAAAAAACCAAATTAGGGTTGTCACGGTATGAAAATTTAACCTCACGGTTATTGTGACCAAAATTATCACGGTTTTCTGTATTATCGCAGTATTTTTTAAACGGTGTTGCATATGTTCAGAAAGCATTGATAGTCCTGTTCTACACAAACTGAAATAGTTTTGAAAAGGTTTAACAGTGTTTATTAAACCTAAAATAACACAAAGCCTTAGCAAAAGTGCAACTTTTCACAAGTAAAGGAACAAATAGCTTCTTTTTCTGGAACATGTTACAGTAGTCAGTGCAGGTTTAAATTATACAAATCCAAACATTCAAAACATAAACAATATGTAAACAAATCAAAGAAACACCACTTGTTTTCTCATATACTTGTTTTCTTCATTATCAAAATGAAAATCTAAAACTCCAGTCCACACCTGACTTGAGCTCTGTACAAGTCAACCTTAAAAAAATATGTATTTAAAATAAATAGCCACTTTAAACCAATGACTAAAATAACTACTACACTATGTAATCAAATCCAAATGTTCAAGTATAAATGGCATTGAATAAGTAAACAAATCAATGACAAGGAACTAATTGTATATTTCTCTTCATCATCAACAAATAAGATGCTTCATCCAGCAACAGGGTGTCCGTGACACGGTTTAAATGCTGGCAGAGGGCGCTGCGGCTGCAGTATATAGTGACTCGTTGCATTCTCCCTCAGCCAAAAGTCCTCACGTCATGCATTTAAGCTAAAATGCTAATGTTAACTTACCTTGCACTGGCTGTAGAGACGTGGGTGATGGTCACGCAGATGTGCCGTTAGATTCGAAGTGTTGCTGCCTTTTGCAGACACCTGCTTCTGCACGTTCTGCAAACGGGATAGCCGTCTTCTATTAACTGTCCCTCAGCATTTTTCAGAAATCCAAAATATGCCCATACTTCCGAGTTAGTCTTCTTTGAGGGCTGATGGATGTCCTGGGCGCTGCCGTCTCCTCCTTCAGCCATTATTTCAGCTTCAAAGTTTTGGTGCCGTCGCAAACTAAAAGTGCGTGTGCGCGCCGCGGGAACTTCAGCTGAAGCGACGGTGGCTGGTAAGGGTCACCGCGCTGAAACCGCGGCCACGGTAAACCCACCGAGATAATTTAGTTTTTAAAAAACTGGACGGTTATTTTTATTGTCAACTTTTTTACCGGGGTTTACCGCTATACCGGTTACCGTGACAACCCTAAACCAAATATTGTTAAATTTCTTTAAAAAAGATTGCAGCCATTTTATTTTGATGGACCCATTCGTTGACTCAAAATCAATTGCATTTAATCCTCCTCCTTCAAATGACTTCACTGTTCCTGATAGAATGGTGTCTGGTTTTCCAAATATAGTTGAAGTTCGTTTGATTTACCTTTTTGATTAATCCATTAGATAAAGATAAACATTGTGAGGGATAAATCAGCTGAGAAATACCTTCTGTTTTAGTAAGCAAGACACGTCCAAAAATAGAAATGTCTCTTTGAAGCCAACAGTTCAGAATCTTTTTAGATTTTTGGATGTTATGTTCAAAGTTTTGAGTTTCGCTCTTTCTTATATCTTTAGAAATTGTAATGTCTAAATATTTAATATCAGTTTTAAGACTTATATAAAAAACACCAGGAGGGTGATCATGGATTGCTAACGGTTCACATTTGCCAATATTCAGATAGACCAGAAGCCCTTGAAAACGGTGACATTTCAGTTAGTGCGAGGGGAACCTGTGACATATTTTTTAAGAACAAAGTAGTGTCGTCTGCTAATTGACTTAAAACCAATGGAGTTCCCATCAAATTCAATGGTTTAATATTTGGATTGCGTTTTATAAAAACAGCTAATAGTTCAGTTACAATAATGAAGAGCAACGGGGATGCTGGGCCTCCCTGACGTATTCCTCATCCAACATTAAAACGTTTAGTTGTTCCAAAAAGGCAAAGAAATAGAACTGTTAATATCTGAGTATACTAAAGGAATTATTTTTATAACATTTTCACCAAAACCAAAATATTTAAGGGCTTCTAAATAAATGAATGCTCAACTGTATCAAATACCTTGTAGAAGAAAAGAATCACACACTAAATGACTAGTCCAGGAGATCTAGAACCAGTCTGATGTATATTAGAGCGATTCAGACGTTTCTTTAAACACTACATCAATTTTTGTAATATGAGGCTCAATCTGGTCAAAAACCCCTACAGAATCAGTGATCTGATAGGCTGAGGAGGATAGATTCCAGTAAAATCACATATTTCATCTAGGGGTGCTCCGATTGATCGGCCACAGATAATTATCGGCCGATTTTCCTGCAAAAGTGTGTGATCTGTGATCGCCGATCACTGCCTTTCATTTCCGATCTGGCACTGGTGTTACTCTTCCCGGCCGGTAGTTCACCCTTCCGCTTCTCCCCGCTTAGTGCGCATGCGCGTGGCGGCAAACCCGCAAAGACAAACATGTCTGCCGTGTGGAACTTCTTAACGGTGTGCGAGAGTGATATTAAGTTTGCGTCTTGCAGCACTTGCAACGAAAATACCCCGCGGAGGAAGCACTTCAAAAAAATTCAACACAACGAATTTGATCCGACATTTAAAGACTAAACACTTGGCGGAGCATGGTGAGTTTTTGAGGCTCACCGCAGACAATGAAAAGAAGCCAGCTAATGCTAATGCAGCGACAGTCAGACGGCAGCTAACGCAGCCGACGCTTGGAAACACTCGCCCATATGAGCATGACAGTCAAAAGGCTAAGCAAATTACCCGTAAAATCGAGTTTATTGGACTAGACAACCAGCCTTTTTCAGTTGTGGAAGACGCCGGATTCCGCCAACTACTAACCCACTTGGAACCCCGCTACATGCTACCAGGACGTAAATATTTCGCCGACGTAGCCCTTCCAGAGCTCCACCAGACAGTGTATTCTTTCATCGAGGGACTCCTTAAAGAAAGCATCTCATCCTCTGTGAGTTTCACAAGTGACATTTGGAGCTCAGATGTCAGTCCTGTGTCAATGCTGAGCGTAACAGCTCACTGGATGTAACTGAATGTATCCTTGGTTACTTAATTTGATTTAGGCGGTGATGTGAGATATTATGACTTTTTTGCACTATTTGTAGCCTAAAGACAGCCTTAATGTTTTCAATTTCTTATGAATTGTTACTGATATTACATAATTTGAAGTGAAGTAAAACCATGTTTTTTCTGAATTAATATGTAACACGTGCATTAGAACTCACCATAGCTAAATGAACAATTTACAGCCAATCTATGTAATTGGTATCGGTAATCGGCTGATCGGCCATGATCGGCCTCTTGGCTAATCGGTAGATTAAAACCTGATCGGAGCATCCCTAATTTCATCCGATATAATCTTATAATCTGTGCATTCATTCTCATTCACAAGTAACGTATTTATAGATTTTTGTTCTTGCCTTCGTTTCTCCAAATTGTAAAAATAAGAAGTACTCTTTTCACCCTCTTCTATTCACTTTGCACGAGCCCTAACGTACGCTTTTAAATAAATCGTCTAACTGAGTTTGTAAAGATCGGAGGGATTCTTTATCAGCATCTGTCATGACCTGGTTATTGCAATAATTATTAATATTTTGATTTAGATTTCTTTTCAAATCCTTTTGTCACTTTCATTTTACCAAATGTAATTAAAAATTCTCTAACTTTAAAATAAAAAATTCCCATCTACTCGTGTGGTTGCCAGTTGTTTTGTCATTGCAGATTTTACAGCACAGTTCTTTGACTATATTAACATATTTATCATCTGTTAAAAGATCTGCATTGAGTTTCCAATCGTCTTTTCTAAAGTGTCTTATTTTCAGGGTTTAATTTTAGGATAATGATACTGTGGTGTGTTAAAGGTGCAGCTGAGACATGGTTAGGTTGAACGTAACCACACATCTAATCTGGACATACTGGTACCATTAGGCTTGATCCATGAGAACTGAGTAACACCAGGTTTTTCCTCTCCATATATCACTTAAATTATTGGAATCAATTAACTCTGTCAGAGTGGGATTGCACTGGTTAATATTATTTCTAGGGGATATCTATCCTGCCATTCATTTGCAACAAGATTAAAGTCACCACCAGTGTTGTATGATCGTTTATACCCAGACAATATATCAGTTATCTTTTCCAGCATGAGCTTATTTTGGGCTATAGAAGCATATCCATTAATGTTAACAAATATCACAAATGATTCATTAACATTCAATACGACTGCCAGCCAGTGACCCCAATCATCTGCCTGAAAAGTCTCAACCTTCCCTGGACATGAAAGAAAAGAACTGCACCAGCAGAGTGACGAGCTCCACGGCTGAACAAGATGTTTTCACCAGAAGGTGGCATCAGCAGCACTTGGATGGGTTTCCTGTAGGAAGGTGCAGTGAGCTTTAAGCCCTTTACAGAACAGAAACATTGCTTTTCTTTTAACATTATCCCTAAGACCTCTTGCATTTAACGAAATAAAAGGTCAACTTGTGTGTAACATTTATAAGAACAAATAAAAAAGAATCAGATAAGAATATTGAATTTGACTAGAAGTAAAAAAGTTGTTTTCCTTTCTAAGAAAGAGTAACAAGGAAAAGGAGTGGTGCAGGTTCCTCCTACCGCATCCAAAAAGTGTCAAACTTCCCTCTTTATGCATGAAGTTCAAAGTTGACATCAAAGTGACTTTTTTTTTTGTTTGTTTCTAAATCGGCTGTCCGCCAGCACGCGGCGGCCATTGATGTAACCGAAAGCCCCTCTGTAGTAGGCCTTTTCTCCTGCATTCCTGGCTTGTAGGATTTTTGGCCAAACTTTCTCCCTCTCCAGGCGATCCTCCTTCGTCAGGTCCTCAGCAAAGCAGATTTTCTCAGTCTCACAGATCTGAGCATTTTGGGATTTTTTCCATATTCCATTTCGATGCAGACGCTTAGTGAACTGGATGATAACCTTGCTGTTTCTGCCATCTTCCTTTCTTCCAATCCGATGCACAGTATCTACAAAGTTCTCCGTACCATCTGACCATTCTGGGGCGGTCTTGACAAGAATCCTGATCACATCTTTTCTGATATCCACCCATGCCTTCTTTCATTCCTTTAATCCTTAAATTCCACCTTCTGGAATATCGGTTTCGCTCTTTCGCCTTTAAGTTCGTCAACTTCTTTCCTCATGGTTGATACTTCCCTTTCTAATCTGTTGCTTTTTTCTTTGCAGTCCCGAACTTCAGCTGCATTAAATTCAAGGGATTCAGCAAGACTGGCAATCATTAAGGAATCCTCATATAATCTTTGGTTAATGTTCGCTGTTTTCTCGTCCTGTTTATCAAATCGCACATGGAGAGCTTGAATAGCTGCCAATATGTCGCTTTTTCGGGTGGCCACCTTTAGAGGGAGTTGAGAAAGGCGAGTCACTTATCTTCACGGTGTCTTTTCTCTCCACCGCCGGATTCGGACTCCATATCTGCGAGGCAGTAGTCGTGGTCATCCGCAGTTGAAGTAGAAGCTTGTGCTTTTTCAAATTTACCGTCCTTTTTATCCTTCTGTTCTTTCAGCATGTTTATTAAAGGGACTTTAGGGCGTTTTGAATTTTTATGCTCGCGATTGCCCCCTCTGGCCAAAAGCGTAATGGCAGCTTCAATAGGAGGCTCGTGCACGAGGCGCGCATGCTGTACGTGCACACTCAATGAAAATAACAGCTGAGACGAAGCTCTGTGAAGCTGTGAAATGTTGGGCTATGAAAGCAGTTCAGAGTAGAAAAAGCAGTAGATATGAAGCCTCACAAGGTTTTGCTAAAGATAAGTAGTCTTACTGCTGACTTAATATTATAAAAAATAAAATACGGGAATGGGTTGATCCCATATTACAAACAGAAAAGGAAACGGTGAATATGAGAACGACTTACCGACACTTCCCCATGCTGCTGCCTTTTTGTGAAGATCTGTTCTTCCGTAGAAACGTTGTAAAGCTCCGGGAAATCCGACACAGCAAGTATCAACTTTTCCTTCGTGTTTGCCAGAGATGCACTGAGAAGCATCCTGTCTGCTCATTGGTCAGTCAGTGAAACCTCTGATTGGTCCTTGTCTGAGCGACCGTGATAAAAAGTGGAAAATTTTCAACGTTCTGGGTTGCTGGATCACCAGTGCACGACACGTGCACAACGCAACATTTCACATGCATGTTTTTGGCATGTAACTTGGCAGGAGGGAGAAATGCTTAGACTCGCACGAGTCATTGAAAATGAATCGAGGAGGTGATGTCTCCTCCATTGTGTCGAGCCCATGAGTGTTTAACTTACCCCTATTATTTATTGGTTATTGGTTTGATCAGCCACTAGGTCAGTTGGGTTTGTGCAGACAGTTGCCTTGTTCACGTTTGGCCTGAGTTATTTTATTTTGACCTTTTTTATGAACTCCTCACTTTTTTTTGTCAAATGAAGTTTTTTAGTTAATAATAAAAACCATATTTTTCTAAGTTGTTCCTGACTCCTCATGCTTCATCCCTCACAGTATGCAGATGTTATTAGTGAATGTAAAAATGTATTTAAAGTAGACCCTGCAACAGCACAGGACTGTCTGATGTGCCTGACTTCAAATAGACTTTACAAAGGACAAATATCGGCTGATGGCTATGTAAAAACGGTGAATATCGGCCCGATCGACCCCTAACTCGCAGTAAACCTTCTTCTTCCTTCGTGAAGGATTATGGAGATCACACACACACACACACACACACACACACACACACACACACACACACACACACACACACACACACACACACACAAAGTGTACCTGTTTAAATTGAATGTTTTCCAAACAGATCTGCCATTAGTTATCACGTAAAACCAAGTTCTACACTTGAGCTTCAAGAGTGAGTGTAAATGAATTGTGACTCGGGTGCCCTGTCTGCACCAGCAGGTGTGTTTAAATGCTCATAAATATGTAGATGCGACACAGAGCTTAAACTTTTATGCTGTTGGTTAAAAAAACAGGAATGTGACCCGTTATTAGGAACTAGGAACCAGGAAAAATCTTCTTTACACGCTGATTTTAAAACATTCTTCTTAAATGTGTTCAGGTAAGATACACAATTTTAGTAATTCATCTGCCCTGAAACAACACATTTTCAACGAGTACACGTGTTGGAAACAAGCACATATTAGAAACAAGTTCACATTACGAATATTTGGAAAAGTAGCCGTGTCACCAATATTTCTAACCATTTACTTCCTCATTTCTAGCTGTTTACTTCCTCATTTCTAGCTGTTTACTTCCTCATTTCTGGCCATTTACATTCCTCATTTCTGTTTACTTCCTCATTTCTAGCGGTTTATTTCCTCATTTCTAGCTGTTTACTTCCTCATTTCTGGCCGTTTACTTCCTCATTTCTGGCCATTTACATTCCTCATTTCTGTTTACTTCCTCATTTCTAGCGGTTTATTTCCTCATTTCTAGCTGTTTACTTCCTCATTTCTGGCCGTTTACTTCCTCATTTCTGGCCGTTTACTTCCTCATTTCTGGCCCTTTACTTCCTCATTTCTGGCCTTTTACTTCCTCACTTCTGTTTACTTCCTCATTTCTGGCCTTTTACTTCCTCACTTCTGTTTACTTCCTCATTTCTGGCAGTTTACTTCCTCAGTATGTGGCTGTATTGACCAATGCATGTTCCAGAGACTAGGCAATCTCTTGTCAACACAACATCTCCTGAGGGTGTGTGGAAGGGTTTGAGATGAATGTGTTTTGAAGCACACCTGTTTTTTTTTTGTGTCCCAGCAGGAGAGATCCTGTCCCAGTATGGATGGTACCTGCTGGCTGGAACCATCATGGTCTACTTGTTTATCCAACACCTGAGGAAAAGGATGTCAGCTGGACCAAGTGACCCCATCTTGTATTCACTGCACGGTCAGCTTCAGTACTGCTTCTCTGTTGCTACAGAAACATGTAGAAATTGTTCAGGCCTAAACTGACAGGATTTTTTTATCCATTCATTATTCCGTTGTGGAACAAATTAGATTTTACAATTTTAAACACTTGTTATAAAAAAGGCTTGGCTCTGTCCAGTCTTGGTTAGGTCGGCTCACCCCCGCATGGCCTTGTTTTGTGCCTTCTTAGGAAAGCTGATTCTGGCAATTTAGGTGTTTTCTCCTTCAACCTCACCTAGGGCTGGGCGATATGGCAAAAATAGAATATCACGATTTTTCCAATATTTTATCACGATTTCGATTTTATCACGATTTTTTTATCCATGAATAGCATAACTTCAATTGCGTATTAAAGAAGAGAAACATTGAATAAATAAACATTTATTCATATTAGGGATAATCAACACAGTGCTAACACACTTATATTTTAAACTCACACCAGAGATGATAAAAGCCCTGAGAGAAACAATTACAAAAATCAGTTTTCTCGTTTTTCAAGTAACTTAACATAAATTAAAATCGTAAACATATTTAAAGTGCAAACATGTCAATTGCAAACGTATTGTGCAAACATTAACTTGTTCAAAATACTATGTAGCTCCCAGTTGCTCATGTAGTGGATAGTTAAGCTCAAATACGGCTCTGATGTGGGGCTGGACCAGAGATCGCTTGTGGTAGCAAATAACTTCACATTCTGAATATTTTCTGCAACAAGTCTCTAAATAAAGTAAAAATTTCCAGTGCAGGTTGGAAACAACCCATAGAAGCACTGATTTGATCTCATTTCAGAGAAAAATAGAACAGGTTAGATGCACCTAATAAATAAAATTATAACAAACTCAGGAATCTTTCTTTGCTTCACTGTTCTGGTGCTGAGAATATCACTAATGCAGATCAAAGGAGATACACAGATGAATGCACCTCTTATTATTTGGAAACTACATTTACTGCAGCTGGCAGAGGCAGAGATTGTTTCTATTGATACACGGATTTACAGAATCATTTTAAATTGTAATAGGGGAAGACTGCAGGAGGGAGCGGTAAAATACAGGGGGTCCCCAGCAAAAACAAAAAACTACGAGTCTGATGAAACCCGCTGGTTTTCCATCAGGCAGTCACGGGGCAGCTCCAGCGACCCAGTGACCGAGCTCAGTCCGGTACCGGCTCGGCAGAGGGTGGACGAGCCGAGGCGGCGTCGTGCTCTGCTTAAGAAGTGTTATTTTCCTGCTTCAGAAGAAGCGTCCAACGTGTTTTTACGCTTTCTCCGAGACATGTCACGTCGCTAAGTTGTTAGCGCCGCACGCTAAGGAAACCCTGCGTTTCCTCTTCGGAACGAAAACCTCGTTGTCGCTCTCAGCCGTGGCGAAGCCATGTTTGTTCACACACAGGTGAAAACAAGCGGGGCAATATATTACTATGACTCACTCTGATTGGTTAAGGGTCAAACAAAGGCGTGTCATTCGACTGGGGTAAGTTCCCTTTTCATTCAGAGGCAGAAATTCAACAGCAGAGCTGTGAATCGTGATAAAACGGTCTCTCAAAAATGACAGACCGTCAGATGTGTAGATCGTAAAACGGTCTAAAATTGTCATATCGCCCAGCCCTAACCTCACCCTTATTTCTAACCTTTTTGGTTGTTACTTTGGGTTAGTCTGAGGAAGAAAAACGGGTGATATGAGGCAGTCTGAGGATTATATGTTTTTAAGCAAGAAACAGCGGATGCGTTTCGGTGGCGTGCGACCTTCTTCAGGGCGTAACTTAATCAGAAACTACCCAGGTGTCAATCTGATCATGTGACAAACACACGATCAAATGTCAGCATCCGTGCCTGAAGGTAGAAGGAAAAGCAAAGTATGGGTAAGCAACAGAAAAAAACTCTGCCCAAGTAGTCAGCAGTAATCACAAAAACAATAATAGTAATAATATCTGATATTTCATTTGCTAGTTAGCATCACACTAATAAAAGCACAAATCATGATGGACGATAGAACGACCAGACCAATTAATATCTCTGCTACAGACACACAGAAGTTCAACACCAGGAAATCTAGCGGCTTGTCATTTTTTATCCAAAATGTTTCTAATGGTATCTTAGCTTGTGCGCATCTCAAATAATAAGAGCAAATGATATGAAATCAAAAAGTAACAAACCAACTTCTGTACAATGTACAGATTTCGTGCCAGGAAAACTAACCTGTCCACACTGTCAGGTTTTAGGGATGTCCTGTGGCAAGTTAACAATGTTCCCACTGCAACTAAACACCCTTTCACAAGGTGAGCTGGTGGCTGGCACACAACGGTACCTTTTTGCCAGGCGGCTCAATGAAGAAAGTTACTTTCATGTTTCTGCCACCATTTCAGAGGGTCAGCATCTTTCTCTACACAACCTGACAACAAGTAGCTCAAAAGCTCAGTTTCCACTGTATCCTGTGCGTGTGTGTGTGTGTGTGTGTGTGTGTGTGTGTGTGTGTGTGTGTGTGTGTGTGGTGCTTGTTGTAGGTTTGGTGTTCTCAAAGAAGCTCGCCAGAGATTTTTTCTTTTTAGATGCGGGTGGTACTGCAACTGCTGCCTGGCCTTGGTCTGCAGGCTCAGTCCCAGCTGGGTCAGGCACAAAGCCGACCTGGTGACTGGGCAAAGACTCCACCTCTGTGATGAATTTATGCTTTAGTGCATCAAGTTTTTCACCTGAAATGTACGTAGCCTTGAATCGGGGATCCAGTAATGCAGCAATGTCCAACAGGTCACAGGTGGATGGATCAGCATACTTGCTGTTGAGGTAGTGCTCAATGCAGGACTTGATGGACTTGCAGAGCTCACTATCCCCCTCTTCATGTGCCAGGAGACTGTTGGTGAACAGGTAAAGCACAGGCCTGATGTATGAAAGGGTGACGTACTCTTCTCCTGAGAGAGCGTCAGTGAAGTCTTGAAGGGGTTTCAGAGCCTTCTTGATCGCCTCCAGGACCTCGATGTCCTGCCAGGTGGGAACAAGTGGTCTGGTTTTCTTGTCAGAGGACAAGACTTTAGAAAGTGCCCCTTCCTGCTCAAGGAAGGACCCAATCATCTGTAGTCCTGATCCCCAGCGAGAGGCTGACTCGGTGGTTAGCTGGTGACCTGGTAGACCCAGCTGTAGTTGCACATCAGCCAGGGGAAGCAGAAGCAGCTGACAACTCTCTTACAGACAGAAATGGCACTTGTTACGCAGGCATCATCCAAACTGTGTCCTATATAAACACACATAATTAAAATCCACATTTTAAAATCACAGATAATTTAATTAGGTCCGTCTGGTCAAAGTTTAGTTGTGAAGCACATCTTAAACACAATCTCAGTTAAAGACACACTCTGATAAAAATCAAGTTTTTCCTGTTCTTAATATGTTCTTGTGGCATTTTTCCTATGCTAGTTATTATGAATTATTTGCTCATGATTGCGTACAGTTAATAAATTCCAATGGAATTTATTAGATAATATTATCCAAAGTGCCACAAATAATACAAAACACAATTCCCCCCCCCCTTTGACAACATTAGTCCCGTTGAACTAAGCTAACGTTAGTGTTTTAGCTAAAATGCGTGATCCGAGGATTTGGGTTGAGGGAGAAAGCACCGAGTGGCTATATAAAGCAGCTGCAGCGCCGCTACCTGCATATAAACCGTGTCGCGGACACCCCCATGTTGAAATGACGCTATGCATTACGGGGCTCCCAGGGGCAGATAAGAGTTGGTCTCTCTCCGAGAATAATTATGAATTTAACAATGATTACTGCCTGATGACATTTTCCCACATCTGCAAAGTTCACTGGAAGGACACAAACTGAGGACAATATTTTCCTGATATAGGGTTTATTACTCAAGTAAGGGTAAAAAAGTATCTGATTAGAAGGCTACTTGAGTACTGAGTATCATCTGATCTAATATTTTTAAAATGATGACATCAAACAGACATAAAATAAGAAGTTATGGGCAAATATTGGTATTTTAAAGACTAAAGGGAAAAAATGTAAACAAATAAGCAACATAATTAGAAAATAACTAATTTTAGGCAAAATTTAGACACAAACTGAGGACAATATTTTCCTGATATACAGGGTTTATTTAATTGTCTGAAAATTTAACACCTTTAAAAAAATACCGTGATAATTTTGGTCACAATAACCGTGAGGTTAAATTTTCACATCGTGACAACCCTACTCTTAATATTAGTAAATCTCCTAATAATGCACTTCCTAAATGAGTGGTGTTTAGTGTCAGATAAACTAAAGAAATGTGTTTTACTGCTTTTATTGCCTTGTGTTTTTATGTTTTAAAACATGCCAGCTCTGGCCAGAATGCTGTATAAACAAGTTGGATTGGATTGGTTAACTGTTGTTGTGCTTCTTATGAAGATTCTTCGAAAGTAGCCAGAAGACAGACGTCCCAGGAAGCAGCTCATAGGAAGATGCAGGAGGAGCTGAATGCCAAAGCTGCCATCATCATAGAGAAACAGAAACAGGTGAAGTAGCCTGATGGTGGTTTTAATCATTGTCATAAATGTTTGCTAAATGCTTTCTGTGAACAGCAGTAAGAAGAAGAAAGGCAGAAAATTGAAGTTTGAGAGAGCATTCAACGGGGAAAGACCTGCAGGGGAATCATTAAAAAGTAACTGACTTACAACATTATAAAATTAATTTCCAGGAGAAGTAACTTATATATATAGTTGTGAAGCAACTTGTGATTTTTATCTACAGAGGAGCTTTATAAAAAAAACACGCTCTTGTTCTACTCCAAAAATGCAAGGAGGAAATCCGTAGGTAGAAACAGCTTTCAAATGTATTAAATAACAAAGCATGCACACAGTTTTACCGGCATTACCAAGGCAGGCAGGCTGCACTAACCCTCACTAAAACTCAGCTCTAAAGCCTAGTTTGTGCTGCGGTCAGCTCCCTGAGAGAGATGCACACGCATTGAAAGAGACACTGACACGTTAGCTTGTTTGAACTAACGTGTGCCATCAGAAACTCAAACCTTTTTTAAAGGGAAGTTGAACTTTCAAGTCAACTCAAGTGTGCAACTCCGCTCTTGCGCTGATGAAGCATAATCCAAGCTTAAAAAATCAGCCTGAACCTGCTCCAGTGTGGGAGGAGTCTCTCTCCCTCACTCACATAGGGTCTCTCCCTCCCTCTCTCTCCTTCACTCACCTACAGTGCCATAATTATCGGCTCTAGCAGCACTGTGTGTGGAAACATAAAACAGGGAAAATAGCCTAAATGCGCAGCTCTGTCAGCTGTGGAATTGGGCTAGACTCTGAATGGTACGTCCCACTCCCCCTCCTCCGTGCTGGCTGTTGCCACCTCCGAAATACAGGGGGAAACCCTGAATGTAAAAAAAGTTACACAACAGATCCTGGATCAGTCTAACCCACTAAAAAACCGCAGCTTTACGGTCACGTGATTGTGCTGTAAAGTAAAGCCGTCAGTCACTGTGGGCGAGCTGTAAACAAAGCAGCATGGCAGAGAGGAAGCTTTCCAAAGTTTGGGTCCACTACATTAAATGGGATAGGTAACTGGGTGATGATGAAACCAGCAACAATGATCTAAGTGAGGCATCATCATCTTAATCTGCTCCGCTAGGTAAATAAAATGTTTAAGATAACAATAGCTTGATAGGTTCAGCTAATGGTGCGTTCGCTTTCTCCTCGAAACTCCAAAATTCCAACTAGAAGAAAGCAAACGCGCTCTAAATTTTGGCTTCACTTGACTAAATGCAATGGGCTATTGGGTGATGATGAAACCAGCGACAACAATCCGAGTATGAGGCTTCTTAATCTGCTCCAGGGAGCTAGTCCAGTGTTCCACGGCCAGGACGAAAACCACATTGCTCCTTTTGAATCTGAGGTTCGACCATCTGATGGACTCTTCTCTCCAGAACCACTGAATAGACCTTACCAGGGAGGCTGAGGATTGGGATCCCCCTGTAGTTGGAACACACCATGCTGCCCCCCTTTTTAAATAGGGGGACCACCACCCCAGTCTGCCAGTTCAGTGGAACTGCCCTCGATGTCCACGCAATACTGCATTGTGTCAGCCAACACAGCCCTACGACATTCAGAGACTTAAGGAACTCTGGGCAGATCTCATCCACCCCCGGAGCCCTGCCACCAAGGAGTTTTTCGACAACCTCAGCCCTAGAGATTGAAGAGTCCAACCCAAAGTCTCCAGGATCCGCTTCCTCACTGGAGGTCTTCAAAGTATTCTGCCCACTAATCCCCAACGTCCCGGGTAGAAGTCAGCAGCACGCTGTCACTACTGTAAATAATGTTGGTAGCACACTGCCTCCCCCTCCTGAGGTGCCGGATGGTGGAGCAGAATCTCCTCCAAGCCGTGCAGAAGTGTTTCTCCATGGTCTTACTGAACTCCCATACCTGGGTTTTTGCCTCCGCAACCACCCGATCCGCATTCCACTTGGACTGCCGGCACCTATCAGCTGACTCTTTAGTCCCACAGACCATAAAGACCTGATGGGACTCTTTCTTCAGTTTGACAGTATCCCTAACCGCCAGTGCCCACCAACAAATTTGGGGGTTTCCACCATGATAGGCACCGACAACCCTGCGGCCACAGCTCTGGTCTACCGCCTCAACAATGGAGGAACAGAACAGGGCCTATTCGGACTCAATGCCGCTCCCACCTTGGAACGTTTTGGAAGTTCTATCCGAGGTGGGAGTTGAAGCTCCTTCTGACAGGAGACTCTGCCAGATGTTCCCAGCAGACCTTCACAATACGTTTGGGCCTGCCTGGTCTGATGGTCATGCTCCTCCACCATCTGAGCCAACTCACCATGAGGTAACAGTCAGTTGACAGCTCCACCGTTCTCTTCACTTGGGTGTCCAAGATATGCAGCCGCAGATCAGACAAAATGCCGACTAAGTTGATCATCAAGCTGCGACCTAAGGTATCCTGGTGCCAAGAGCACATATGGACACCTTTATGTCTGAACATGGTGTTCATTATGGACAATATATGAGTAGCACAGAAGTTCACAAACAAAACACTGCTCAAATTCAAATCAGGGGGTCGGTTCCTCCCAACCACTCCGGTCCAGGTCTCACTGTCATTGCCCATGTGAGCATTAGTCCCCCAGCAGAACAAGGGAGTCACCGGAAGGAGCGCTCTCCAGCACCCTGTCCAAGATCTCCAAAAAGGGTGGGTAGTCTGACCTGTATAAGCACAAACCGCAGTCGGGGCCCAACCCCCCACACGTAGGCGGAGGGAAGCTACCCTCTTGTTCATCGGGGTAAACCCCAACTTACAGGCACCAAGATTGGGCAACTAGTATTCCCACCCCTGCTCGGCGCCTCTCAGTGGGAGTAACTCCAGAGTGGTAGAAAGTCCAACCCATCTCAAGGAAACTGATTCTGGAGCCAGAGCCATGCGTTAAGTTGAGTCCGACTATAGAGCTCCGGGAGTTGATGTCACTTCTCCCGGCATGCAACAGTTCAAATCGAAACGGCGCCATATTGGCAGGCAGAAGCCCGCAGCTGGACTATTTGTTATTGTCAGAAATCTTGATCAAACGGGAAATACGGTAGATTCCTGTTGTGCCCCAGGATGCCAGAACAGACGCGGACGAGATAAGGGATGAGCCATCTACAGGATTCCCCAAGATCCGGAACGCCGCAAACGTTGGATCATTCCAGTAAAACGTGCTAGTGACCGGGCTAAAATGAAATTGTGGGATCCAGAGAGTAAAGGTTTTTGCTTATGCAGCAGCCATTTCATATCAGGTACTTAAAACGTTTCCTCAACTGTTTGTGGTATTTATTTTAAATGCTTTTATTACGATTCGTAGTGGGCTTCCTAAACTTATTTTGGCGTGGCTTTTTCTATCTTATTACTCATAGCAACAAGTAAACATCACGTAAAACGTTGCCTCGTGAGTTCTGCGTGCTGCCGTTTACGTGTTTTATGATCACAGCAATTAACCGGCTAAGCTGTATTTCATTTTTAAGCAATGGTTGATCAATTGTCAGATCACACATAAAATGCACTTTGGATTGCTATTATCTGTCTGACCGAGACAGATCTCAGACAGATCCTGAGACGCTCCTGCCTGACATTTATTTTATTCACGGAAAACAATCAAACTAGTGATTTCTCTTGGCGTTCAGTTTATACATTCAAACAGCACAGCACTCTACAGGGAGTGCAGAATTATTAGGTAAATGAGTACTTTGTCCACATCATCCTCTTCATGCATGTTGTCTTACTCCAAGCTGTGTAGGCTCGAAAGCCTACTACCATTTAAGCATATTAGGTGATGTGCATCTCTGTAATGAGAAGGGGTGTGGTCTAATGACATCAACACCCTATATCAGGTGTGCATAACTATTAGGCAACTTCCTTTCCTTTGGCAAAATGGGTCAAAAGAAGGACTTGACAGGCTCAGAAAGGTCAAAAATAGTGAGATATCTTGCAGAGGAATGCAACAGTCTTAAAATTGCAAAGCTTCTGAAGCGTGATCATCGAACAATCAAGCGTTTCATTCAAAATAGTCAACAGGGTCGCAAGAAGCGTGTGGACAAACCAAGGCGCAAAATAACTGCCCATGAACTGAGAAAAGTCAAGCGTGCAGCTGCCAAGATGCCACTTGCCACCAGTTTGGACATATTTCAGAGCTGCAACATCACTGGAGTGCCCAGAAGCACAAGGTGTGCAATACTCAGAGACATGGCCAAGGTAAGAAAGGCTGAAAGACGACCACCACTGAATAAGACACACAAGCTGAAACGTCAAGACTGGGCCAAGAAATATCTCAAGACTGATTGTTCTAAGGTTTTATGAACTGATGAAATGAGAGTGAGTCTTGATGGGCCAGATGGATGGGCCCGTGGATGGATTGGTAAAGGGCAGAGAGCTCCAGTCCGACTCAGTCGCCAGCAAGGTGGAGGTGGAGTACTGGTTTGGGCTGGTATCATCAAAGATGAGCTTGTGGGGCCTTTTCAGGTTGAGGATGGAGTGAAGCTCAACTCCCAGTCCTACTGCCAGTTTCTGGAAGACACCTTCTTCAGGCAGTGGTACAGGAAGAAGTCTGCATCCTTCAAGAAAAACATGATTTTCATGCAGGACAATGCTCTATCACACGCGTCCAAGTACTCCACAGCGTGGCTGGCAAGAAAGGGTATAAAAGAAGAAAAACTAATGACATGGCCTCCTTGTTCACCTGATCTGAACCCCATTGAGAACCTGTGGTCCATCATCAAATGTGAGATTTACAAGTAGGGAAAACAGTACACCTCTCTGAACAGTGTCTGGGAGGCTGTGGCTGCTGCTGCACGCAATGTTGATGGTGAACAGATCAAAACACTGACAAGAATCCATGGATGGCAGGCTTTTGAGTGTCCTTGCAAAGAAAGGTGGCTATATTGGTCGCTGATTTGTTTTTGAATGTCAAAAATGTATATTTGGGAATGTGGAGATGTTATATTGGTTTCACTGGTAAAAAAAAAAATTGAAATGGGTATTTGTTTGTTTTTTGTCAAGTTGCCTAATAATTATGCACAGTAATACTCACCTGCACACACAGATATCTCCCTAAAATAGCTAACACTAAAAACAAACTAAAAACTACTTCCAAAAACTTTCAGCTTTGATATTAATGAGTTTTTTGGGTTCATTGAGAACATGGTTGTTGTTCAATAATAAAATTATTCCTCAAAAATACAACTTGCCTAATAATTCTGCACTCCCTGTATTTAAACTTATTACATGTAAATCTATGTTATTTGTCCATCCATCCATCCATTATCATCTACTTATCTGGGGTCGGGTTGCGGGGGCAGTAGCCTAGGAGGCCCAGACTTCCCTCTCCCCAGCCACTTGGGCCAGCTCCTCCGGGGGAATCCCAAGGCGTTCCCTGGCCAGGTCCGGTAAGAAGTCCGCTCCGACAGCTTCTGGCGTTTTTAAAAAGTATCCCAGGAGCACGGTAAGGGTCGGAGATGTTTAGTCTATTTAATTTCTGACTATATAAAACGATTTCTTCGGTTTTAAAGTGTGAAGTAAACTCCGACGAAGTGCAATCCAAGCCCATCCCATTCATTTTGTTTACATTTGTTGCCTGCCAACATGGTGTCTACTCTCTGAGTCACGTGACGTCCGTAGCTCTATATCTAGTCGAAACCTCTCAACCTCGCGCACCAACTCAGGCTTGTTCCCCACCAGAGAGATGACATTTCACATGCCAAGAGCCAGCTTCTGTAGCTGAGGATCAGACCGCCAAAGTCTGATACCACCTGTCACACACTGCACCCGAGCCCTTTGACCCCTCCCACGAGTATTGAGCCCATGGGAAGGGGGACCCACGTTTCCTCTTCAGGCCGTGCTCAGCCAGTCTCTATGGGTAAAAGCCCGGCCACCAGGCGCTCGCCAACGTGCCTTGAGAGGTGCTAAATATCAGATCAGCAGTTACGTGATAAAGCTGTTTCTCCACAGCCATCATTACTGATTGGGTAATTAGTGGATTACTAAGACCTTCATTGTTGTGGTTCCCCCATTTCTACCAATAGATGCTTATCATGCACATGATCAGAGCTGTTCTGATGTTTAGGAACATTTCTGCACACAAGTGCAGGATGTTGAATTCCACATAATATGTAAAAACATTCCTACACATGAGATACGCATAGAGCTGTGTGTCAGTGCGCTTGATGAATGAGGGCCCAGGTGTAGCTTTTCTAGAGTATGATCATATTTTGTGTGGCTTGTTGCGATGCCATTGATGTGTCTTGACATTTATGCCCACAGAGCACTGACAAGGCTGGCTCTTCTTCATCAACGGCACAGAAAACGAAGACAGGCAAGAAGCAGCTTCGCAGTAATGGTACGCTCTAATTTTCATACATGTAGTATATATAAATATGTTGTGTGAGGTTTTCTTCATTATGGTTTACAGTATAGAATAGAACAGAAATGCCTCTATTGTTCATCAGTGGGCACATTTTGCTGTCATAGCACTAATGAAAACACCCTTAAAGAACCCAGTGAGGAGCCTGGGTTCTTTTAAGAGTTGGCTGACCCCCATCTGTCACCATGGTAACAGGTCTTCAGACCAGAGATCAGCACCTTTGAAGCTGTTAGTTTAGATTAAAAGGAAGTGTTTTCTTTGTCCATCTGCCAAAGAAATGCCAACATATGGACTCAGGAGACTTCCTTCTGTGTTGCTGTGTGTTTGAGGATCCAGAACCTCAGTTGTTTGGTAGATGAGCAACAGGTTTTTAATTGATGCTGTTTCTGTTTGTTCCAGACTACAGTCCCCTGATGGGACAGGGAGGAGGCACCTGCTCCTGGAGACCTGGTAGGAGAGGGCCATCGTCTGGTGGATGAGGTTAAATGTCTGAGGTTCTGGTCTCTATGACCTTTAACCTCTGTGTGTAATGCACACTGACTGTTTGGACCAAGCAGACCTTGTACACAAACCCACTGATAGAAAACCAGGCTACCTAAATGTTAGAAAAACATATTCAAGTCATGCATTTTTATTTTTTTGAATGGAAAGATCCCAAATCAGGAACTCTTAAGCCCCTGTGAGGTGGACGATAAAATGGTTTCCATGAAAATGGTTCAAATCAACCGTGTCTGTCTGCGTCACAGCTCCACGTGAAAACTACTGCTCCAACACCGTTGACGTGCTGGGTGTACATCTCAGAAGGGTACCAGGAACAAGTCCACAAGCGCAGTTTCTTAGGAAAATTTTGGCATTGATGTGAAAATCCACGTTCTAAGAGTTCAGCGCTTTGAGGGTTTTAGGGTGACGTGAAACATCTTTTACGTCATTGTCTCGCCTGGTGCTGACGAGAGTTGGCTCTGACTGTGTAGTGAAGAGTTGGACTTCCTGCTGTGAGGGATGGACATTTACAAAATTGCACAATTATTTTACTAAAGCAATTCCATCTAACAAGAAATAATTAACTTTTTTTCTACTTGACATGTAAGTTAAATATTGTCCATCCATTCATTCTCTTCCGCTTGTCTGGAGTCGGGTCATGGGGGCAGTAGCCTAAGTCACGAGGCCCAGACTCCCCTCTCCCCAGCCACTTACGCCAGCTCTTCCGGGGGAATTCCAAGGCGTTCCCTGGCCAGGTGAGAGACATAGTCTCTCCGTGTCCAGGGTCTCCCTTTAGGTCTCCTCCCGGTTGGACGTGTCCGAAAACCTCACCAGGGAGGCGTCCAGGAGGCATCCTGACCAGATGCCTGTGCCACCTCAACTGATTCCTCTCTTCTGTTTATTCTTAATCTCTGCATCCACATATTTTGTTTACATCCATACCTGGTATCATTTGTAGTCTCCGGAATAATTTCTATGAATTTAGATAAGACTAGTTAATTAGTTGGTGTACTTGGAAGCTTGTCATGAGGCCATTCCTGCAAATGGAACCTGACCAATGGGTTTGGCTGAAGGTCTTAAGTCAGTTTTTGTAAGTATTGTAGTTCAAACCTTTGTAGCATGTGGACATTGGTTAGTTACAGAAGGCAACCTGAACACATGGTTAGGTTTGTTTTCCTGTTATGGAGTCACATTGAAATATATTTTTTATGCCTCCTTTATGCAATAAAGATGTTAAAACTCAAAGGATCTGAAGTTCTGTTTGATTTTGTTTATTCAGGATGTCTCATATGGCACAGTATGATGGCCAAAATTAAGGCCACTTCCCTGCCATTAGGAAGTAGCAACCCTCTGATCTGATATGGCTGGTGGCTGTGCTGGTTTCTCAGAAATTGACCACTCACGCGGCAGTGTTGGAGACGCTCATCGTCCGCTGGATTGCCTGCCCTCTGCGGTACAATCATTCAAATTCCAAAAGACTATTAATCCCAGAGGTGAATTAAGTGTTCAATCTTCAACACAACAATAGAATAACTGTAGTGAGAATCTCATGTTCATCATTTTCAGTGTGGTTAAATATGCTGATGGCTGTGGACAGGAAGGACCTCCTGGAGCCTTCTGGGTTACAGAAGTTGTGAAGATGCTCTGTTGCTGCATGACTCATGAAGAGGACGCTCAGGGCTGCGCGTGAACTATCATCACCAGTGGTTCCACCGCAGTCGCCAGAACAGGACCAGATTCTTTTTATCGGGTTGTTGGTCACTGTCCCTGATGATGCTACCCCAACAGCTGATGACCTAAGAGATCACACTCGCCACAAAGGACTTGCTGAAGATGTGCAGCATGTCGCTGCAGGTCTACTCTGATTCCTAATTGGAGATTGCGTCACTGTTTGTTTTTTTTATTGATCTTTTACATATTTTAACAAACCCACAACAGAAAACCCCACCCACCCCACTACACCGAATCCAACTCACAAAGACTTCTTAAGACCAGGTTTCATAACAACATCTAACCTAAACACACAAAACAGTCCACAAAAGAACATAAGAGAAATGATCACAAAGAAGGAAACAAACTTTCCATCAAGCCCTTCTGTTTGCCTGCTTTTCTCAGCTCTACATGTGGTGGATGACTCTTTCCACCTGGACTATGAGTCTTTTTGCCAAAAAAATTAAAAGAGAACCATTTTCAACTGGCTTGTGTCCGAGTAAGCCTCCACCACGACCACTCCAAAGGAGTTCTCAAGTCTTGGAGAGAGCATCAAGCAAAGAACACCTAAACCTCTGCTGTTTGGGCACGTTCAGAACATGTGGAGAAGTATGTAGCAGACAGTTTTGTGCAAAGCTACTTACAGGTGATAATGAAGCAGCAGGTTGCTAACACTTATCGGTCAATCCTAGGTGGCAGTGAGGCAGCTTAATCGTAGAGGGAAGCAAACATGGAGAGTGCAGTAGAGTGGGGGACGGGCGCAGGGAGGGTGCTGGTTTAGAAGATGCTCTCTGAAGAGCTGGGTCTTCAGGAGTTTCTTGAAAATCGACAAGGAAGCCCTTGTTCTGGTAGTTCTTGATAGGTTGTTTCACAGATGTGGAACAACACATGAAAAGAGTCTGGATTGTCCTGCATGAAGTGTAGGCACTGCCAGCCGATGATCTTTGATGACCCGAGTGGCCGAGCCATGACGTTAGCCTTTACAAGGGGATTCAGGCAGATGGGAGCCGTACCATCCAGGACTTTGTATGCTACTGTTAATGATGTGTAGCAACATGAATGGCCTCATTTGTGACCCAAAGGTCACACTTCCCCAGCTGGGTCGAGCTGTACTTCTGTCCACAGATTATCCATCACTGGAGACGTAACGTCTGCTAAAACCATCTTTAATCTGACTGCTGTTCCATCCCAAGATGAAGGACACTTCAAGATTTAAAATAATCATTTTTAATAAACTCTTTTCACTGTTTATTACAAGGTTAATAAATAATCACCATAAATAATCATCATGGCTCATTATAAATGTATTTAATTACTGAAATAACTTATTATTCTTTGGTTAATAATAAATATTATTTATGATAATCAGTAATGTTTAATCAGTAACCACAAGGTCATGTACACTTGTACACAACATGCAGGGGACTGAATCAGGGTGAAGGTAACTGCACCTCACATGTCTTTGCTCCATAACCAAAGCTTCCTATCTCTGAGAGGGTGTGTCCTGAGTTTTAATAAAACCAAAAACTCCTCAGTTCAACTTCAGTTCTGAACCAACCAAAATATCTCCGTGGCACGAGAATCCCAGAGGACAAGGGTCAGCCGCCCGAAGCCTCACTAAGCTGTTCTGTCACGCCGATAGAATCGCTCCAAATAAATGCCACCTGCACCAGCTGATGCTAAACTCCTTCAGAGTTAAGCCAGACGCAAGCTCAACACCTGTGTACCCTGCGGCAACTCTTGGACCAGAGAGTCGATACCACTCGGGTCTCCCCTACCGGACTGAGTACCCAGAGGCTGGCAACATCCTCCCTTTGACCTCCGAGTCCACACAGAGGGTCGTCTAACTGGGTGAGGTAGAACACAGATTGCGTCCGATGCTGTTCTCTCTAAAGCCTGATTTATGCTTCTCCGTCTGCGTCAGTGCGGAGACACGCAATGCCATTATCTGTCCTTGCGTAGGGCAAGCAAGTACTTACGGAGTCGAGCCCACTTTTTTAAACATCCGTCGAACGAGACGGATTACGCAAGCTTGTGATTGGTCGGGACGCCGCTGTTGTTTGCAGCGCCGCCATTGCAAAGAGAGCCGAGGATAACTAGCGGCAGACACGGAGAAGCTTGAAGAATACCTCGCGAAAAAACTCTAAAAGTATGAACGTTTTATCCTCCCGTGACTGGAGGAGTGAAAAGATGCACAGCAAGCATTTTATTTGTGGACGGAAATGACATGAAACGTGGGTTTAGCGGTGGGGAGCGCATGAAGCGGTGGGAGAATGAGAGACAAATATGTCCTTGTTAAAAGTCTCTTATATACACAAAAAACACAATAAAACACACGATCTTGGACCGATACACGACAGATACCACAGAACAAAGCTACGCCCTCTGTTTTCCTGCCAGGGAATTGCTTTGCAACACTCTCCAGGAGACGGAGAAGTATGAGAGCAAAACGCTTCCGTCAATCCGTGCGTGTCTGTCCCTTGCGGAACTGACGGAGAAGCATAAACCAGGCTTAAGACCCAACTTAGTTAGCTGCAAAACAAACTCTTTCACCCAGAATGCGTTTCTCTCTCTGATAGGAACCTTCTGAGAATCCATCCACGCATCCAAACACATGCATTTCATTCTAGTTTTCATTCAGACACAGGTTGCTTTTAATACCAAGTTTTAATATCAAAGCTGTTATGAATTGTAATTTTTACATTGTCATCTTTAAATTGTTAGTAATAAATTCTTAACTTTTTAAACCTGACTCTTGAACTAAAACACAGAATGGTGTATATTTGGTTATTGAACAAGCAAATATTCCATTAAGTCTTCTGGTTAATAAATAAACTTTGCTATTAATTAAATTTCTTAAATTAAATATTAATCTTTGGATTAAATACACCATACCAACTTTATTTATTAAGCACATTTAAAAATGGCATGGCAGCCGACCAAAGTGCTGTACAGAATAAAAAGTAAAAAAACAAAACACGGCCAACAATAAAATGCACAACAAGGCAGATAATCACGGTCAATAAAAGACACATAATAAAATAAAAGTCAGGGATTTAAAAATGCCTGGTCGTAAAAGTGAGCCTTAAGTAGTGACTTGAACCGGAGGAGGGATGGTGCCATCCTCACTGAAAGAGGAAGAGTCGGAGCAGCATAGACAAAAGCACGCTGCCCCCGCGTTTTGTATTTCATTGATGAAACGCGAAGCAGCAGGCAATTAGCAGACCTCAACGCCCGGTTTGGCACATAACGAGTCACAAGATCCAGAATCTGGAGCCAGACCGTTCAGGGCCTTAAAAACAAAAGTCAGGATTTTAAACTTGACTCTGAAGTTTATGGGTAGCCAGTGGAGCCGCGTCAGTACAGGTGTGATATGGTCTCTTCTAGGGGTGTTTGTTAAAAACCTGGCTGCCGCGTTCTGTACGACCTGAAGCCTGTTAAGAGTGGAGGCAGGTAAGCCAATTAAAATGAAATTTGCATAATCCAGTCGGGAGATGATAAAAGCATGAATTACAGATTCCAGGTGCGCTCGTTTCAGGATTGGTTTTAAGCGAACTAGTCTGCGCAGCTGATAAAACCACGATCTGACCACTGCGTTAATCTGAGGGCCCATGGAAAAGTGTGTATCCAGTTTCACCCCCAGGTTGGTAACACACTGCTTGAGGTCATATGGGAGAGTGGCCAAATCAGAAGATACGTGTGTGGTTTTGTTAGGGGTCATCAGGAGTGCCTCAGACTTAGAATCATTTAGCTTAAGGAAATTGTTGGCAAGCCAAACCCTCACTTCAGCCAAACATTGGTCCAGAAGAGAGAGGGAGCCTGGTTTGTTCAAAGCCAGGTAGATCTGGCAATCATCTGCATAAATATGATAGCCCAGGCCATATTTCCTCAGGATGAAACCCAGGGGGAGGATGTACATTGAAAACAGGAGAGGCCCAAGCACAGATCCCTGCGGGACTCCCCATGGAAGTGGAAGGAATGTAGAGGAACAATTACCCAACTGAACCTTGAAAACTCTGTTTGACAGGTATGAGCAGAACCACTGAAGTGAGGTACCCCTAAGCCCTACCCATGACTCAAGTCTATCCAGCAAAATATCGTGGTCAACAGTATCAAACGCTGCAGAGAGATCTAAGAGTAAGAGCAAAACAGGCGACCCAGAGTCAGAAGCCACCAGGATGTCATTGGTCACTCGAAGAAGGGCTGATTCAATACTGTGAAGTGGCCTAAACCCGGACTGGAACACATCAACCAGAGAAAATCTATTCATGTGTGCTGTAATCTGTGAATAGACAATCTTTTCAAGGACCTTAGACAAAAACGGTAATTTGGAGATTGGCCAAAAGTTTGCAAGATTTGAGCTGTCTTAACCAGTTTTTTTTTTTAATTGGTTGCACAACCACCTTTTTAAAAGAAATAGGAAACACCCCAGTAGCCAAGCTAGAGTTAAAAATGTCTAAGATGGTGGGGCCCAAAATAGGGATGATGTCACCCACCATCCTCGGGGGGAGAGGGTCCTCAGGAGAACCTGCTGG